AGGCCCCGCGATGCCCTCTGTGGGGGCACCAAGGATGACCCAGTGTCCGCCCCTCTTTGCAAGACTTCGCCCTGTCAGCACTGACTAGGAATTGTGCTGTGTTTCTGCTACAACAGGGCGCATTCTTGAGTGTCAGGAGCGCAGTATCCACGCGTGCTGGTGTGTGGGCCAGCGCATGAGCCGCGTGGGCAGCAGAACAGCCTCTGGATGTCCCCTGCGCCCCAGCACTCGCGGGGGTCAAGGGGTGGCTGTGAGGGGCAGATGAAACGGCCACATCACCGACCCCCGCGCGGACCCGGCCTCCCGCGGACGCGGCGGCGCAGGGACGCGGCAGGTGCTGAGGGACGAGGCCGCCCGTGGACACCCGCGGCCGGGACGCCGCCGTGGGGGGGGCTGGAGTCAATATTGGGTTCGATGATGACTGTGCAGCCAATGTCCGGCGACGGCAGCAGGGGGATGCGCGTTGCCTGCATCACGGGGTGTGATCACGTCCCTGAGCACGTGCTGGGAAACGCCGACGCGTCGCCCGCTGGGGACGGGCCATGAACCACGACACGCCGCTCCCGGGTCAGGCGCGCGGGGACGAGCCGGGGCTGCGAGGCCAGCGCCGCCCCGGACCCGCGAGGCCGACGGACACCGCGCGGGCTGGACGGCGTCCCGGAGCCGAGGCCGAGCCCCCCGCGGGACCCCACGAGCCTCCCGGGCCGGAGAAGCCACGGGGGGAGCCGGGACCGGGGCTGGGGTGGGGGGCGGCACGGGGCCGGGTGGGCTGTGCGGCCCGTGTGGATCCAGCGCGGGGCGGGGCTCTGGGTGTGGCCAGAGCCTCACTGGGGACCCCGCCCTGAGGCGCCCCCAAGGCGGTCTGCTCGGGGCTCCCCGGGGGAGCAGCGGGTTGAGCGCCACGTGTGAAGCTGCCTCAGCCTCGACGGTGCAGATTCGATCCCGGCCGCCCACGAGGGCCCCACATGGCGCGCAGACTCTCCTGTCTCCCCGCTGAGCCCCTCAGCGGTGTATTTCGGTCAGTCTGCCTGTTCTGCTCCCGGCTCTGTCTCTGGAGAATCCTCTCCCCTTCCCCACATCTGGCCTGTACCCCGGCTCTTGTATAAATAAAATATTAAAAAAAAAAAAAAAGATTCCCCTCCTTGGAACTGTTCACCCAAACCCAGTTTACTCAGGAGGGCACAGACCGTGAGCAAGTCCAGGCTCTGTTTTTCACAGAACCACTGAGACGAGGGAATTTGAGGCGCGTTGTTGGGCTTCGGCTTGAGCGGCTCCCTCAGGAAGATCGGAGGTTCCTGTAACTGCACCCCAGCAGGGCTGGCAGAGACGCCTCAGCCTGGGACTGTGGCGTCCCGAACACCTGCAGGTGTGTAGCCAAATGACAGCGTCAGCGAGAACTGGGGCCTCCGCCTATTCCTGTCAGCTGCGGCGGCGGCTGGGAGAGGCGGCGGGGGCTGCGGAGGCTGCTGGCTTGGGGTTCGGCCACCATGTCCTGTCCGGACAGAGGGAGCGAGGGAAACAATGCGGACAATGTGTGCACATGGGGCCTCGCAGCGAGCAGGGCAGCGGGCTGGGCAGGGCCCTGGCCCAGGCTGACTGACTGGTGAGGGGGACGCCGACCAGAAGGCCAGTCCCCAGACCTGGAGCAGGCAGAGCGGCCCCTGCTCACCAAGGAGGTGACCCTATTGCCGGCCACTTTTAGGGTCACCCGCGACTTTGAGCCAAAGGGGAGCCTGTCTCACCTCTGGGCTTCTTCACAGAAGGTTTCTTCCTGCCCCAGGTTCTTCCTGGCCGGAGACAGCTGACCGTCCTGTGGGCTGGGCCGGCCTCCTCCTCTCTGGAGGGTGGCACAGTCCCTCTCCCAGCGCCCTGAGCGATGGCTCGGAGGGTGTGGGCCTGGGGCCATGTTTTTAGGCACTTGTGGCCGAGGTGTCTGGTCCTGGCAGTGGAGGCGGCTGGCAGCCCACTGAGAAGGTGAGGCAACCCAGCGCTCAACCGCTGAGCCACCGGGGAGGCCCATTCTTTCTTTTTTTAACTGGCAATTTTACAGCAGAGAAACCTGGCTGACCCACTCCTTTTTTTTTCATTATTTTATTTTTTTAAAGATTTATTTATACAACAACCGGGGTACAGGTCAGAGGCACTGGAGGGTGAGAGGATTCACCAGAGAGAGCGGGGAGCAGAACAGGCAGACGGACTGAAGACAATGCTGAGGGGAGCAGCAGGCGAGCAGGAGAGGTCTGCCACGCCATGTGGGAATCTCCCTGGCCGGCCGGGAATCGAACCTGCGCTGCAGAGGCTGTGGACAGCTTCACAGCGCTGCACTCAACCCACTGAGCCACTGGAGAGGCCCACCTGCTCCTTTTTAAAAAAGATTTATTTATTTATGCATACAGGAACTGGGGTACTGCCTAGAGGTGCGGGGAGCGAAAAGATTCCCCAGAGTCAGAGCAGGGAGCAGAACAGGCAGACTGAAATACACCGCTGAGGGGGGCAGCGGGTGACAGGGGAGGTCTGCCTCGTCATGTGGGTAGCTTCCACGTTGCGACAGCTTCATAGCGCTGAGACTAATCCCTGCGCCACCTGGGGGCGGCCCCTGACCTCCTTGTGAGCCCAAGGACGCAATGGGGTGCTAGGCGCCTCTTCACAGGATGCCCCGCAAGAAGCCGGGCTCCGCGGGCTTCCTGGCAAGCGTGCACAGCCCGGGCGTCTCCCGAGGAAGCAGACTACGGGGACGGGGGCACTACAGAATTAAGGGCGTTCCAAAGACGGCAGCGTCAGGAACCATCGGGAGTGAACACGCGCGCAGGAGCCGCGGCCGACTGCGGGCGGGGAGCGAGGGGCCGCACGTGGCGCGGCCTGGGCTGCTGCCCGTTTCAGGGCCGCTCTCCTGACCCCCAGGGCGCGCCCTGGACCGGGAGGGCGCATTCCCGCCCGAGAGGGTGGGACGAGGGTGTCCCGCATCCCACGCGGGCATCGCGAGCATCTACGGCGCCGCTGCCCCCACAGAAGGGCGCGCCGGGTGCCCGGGGACGCCCGCATCGCCGGGGGGCGGGGGTCACGGGGGGGGGCGCGAAGCCACCGCGCACCCCGCCACCTCCCGACGCCGCCTCCGGCCGCGGAGGACCCGGGCTCCGGGCCCCGTTCCTCCAGGGTCGCGCCCAGGCTCGGGCGGCAGGCGGGGGCAGCCCCGGGCGCCGCGAGCTCAGGTCCGGGCCCCGCGAAGGACGGTGGGCGCCCCGGGCTCTCAGCGGGAAGACGCGGGGCCCGACGCCCGGGGCCGCAGCGCCCCCCCCATCACCGGCCGGCGGGCGGCGCCCGGCGTGGACCCCGCTCCTCCCGCCGCGCCCGGCGCCCCGCCCGGCCCGGGCCTCCCGCAGGGGCGCGTGTGCGGGGCTTGTCGCGTTCCCGGCGCGCCACAGTCGGCGCGCCCGGGCGCTGCAGACGTCGCGCGGCCGCCCGGTCGCCTCACCGATGGCCAGGGGCAGCCAGCCCGGCCCAGCTGCAGCGGCGAGGCCGCGGACACCACGGGCCTGGGCCCGGGGCGGGGCGCCGGGGTTCGGTGCCCGGCGGTCTCACAGAAGCAGCAGCGTCGCCGGGCTCCGGCCATCGCCTCCCAACATGGGGAGACAAAATGGCGGCCGTGCCGGACAGGGAAGGGGGACGCGGAGGCTACATACGGGTTCCGTGCCACATTAGAACTACAAGTCCCAGAATGCTGCGGGCCGGAGGCGGGAGGCTGAGGAGCGCTCGAGCGTCGCTCGAGGTGGCGCCAGGCCCGGTGCTCCTCCCCCTGCAGCGGAAACTCTCCAGAAGACGTTGCCAGCTCCGGTCCACTCCCTCGCTGTTCCTCGCATTGGCCGACGGGATTAGTAGTTCCTCGGCGACGAAGTGGCTTGTCTCACGCGACTTCAGAAACTACACTTCCCGAGGTGGCGTTGACGCCTGCGCACAAGGCCGCGGGGGGGGGTGGCGTACTACGGTTCCCGGCGGGCCCCGCGACGCGGGAGGCTGCGTGCTGACGTGCGTAGTTAGTCGTGCTGACGCGCAGCGCGGCCCAGGCGGGGTGCGAGTGGCGCAGTCGGAGCCCGCTGCGGCCCCTGAGGAAGCGAGGAGGCGTCGGTGTCGGCTGAGGCGGGCGGACCGGCGAGGCGTCGGCTCCAGGCCCCAGGGATTCGGGAGTTCGAGCAGCGGCAGGACCTCTCCCCCTCGGAGGCGGCGGGCGGAGGCGGCGGCGGCGGCGGCGGGTGAGAGGGTGGGGGAGCGCGCCAGCCGGGTGGGGGAGGGGCGGCGGCCGGCGCGAGGCCCGAGCGCGAGGAGAACGGTCCTGGCCGCCGCCGCGCGCACGCGCGCTCGCCGCCCCCAGCACGCGCGGACGGCCTCGCTCGCTGGCCTCCCTTCCCCCTCCCCCGCGCGGTTCTGGTCGCGCGCGGGCTTTTCCTCCCCTCCCCCCATGGCAACGGCGCGCCGCCGATCGGGCGCGCGCTCGGCGAGGCGCGGGCGCGCGCTGCTCGGCTTCTCCTCCCCCGCGCGTGTGGTCGGGGCGCCCGCCCGCGGCTGCTCCTGCCGACATCTTGGCGGCGCCGGCCCGCGAGGGTCTCCCGCACCCTCCCGCGCGCCGCCGCGGCCCGATCCGGTCGGCCCAGACGGCGGGGCGCCGCGCGGCCCCTCCCCCACCCCGCCCGAAATAGCGCGCGCGCCCGGTCCGGCCTGGGCTGGCGGCTGCGGAGCCGGGGCGCCGCGCTCCTGGGCGCCGGCCGCGCGCGGCGGGGAGAGCCGGCCGCGCCGGGGTGCGTGGGCCCCGCGCGCGCCGCCCCCGTGTGCGTTTGCCTCGGCGCCGTGGGGGGCGCGGTGACGTCGGGGGGCGCGCCGGCCCGTTCCGGGCGTTGCTCGTCGTCTCGGGCGCCGCTGCGCTGCGGGCCGGGCCGCCACGGCGTGGGCGCCCAGGGGCGCGGGCTCGTCGGCTCCGGCTCCCGGCGTGGCGCTGGGCCCTACCCAGGGCCGCCTTCCTGCCGCCCCCGGCCCTTCCCGGGCGCGACGCTTTCTGAACCTTCTGCTAGCGAGTCTTCAAGGTGTCTTCCCCGCCTGGTTGGACATGGTGATAATTTTCCCGCACGAAATTCCCTTTTCTCTTTCATTGCAGTCCCCCCACACACACTTTTGACTTGGGCTATTTCTCTGTCCATTTTGTGGGCTCCCTGCCGTAAGGATTTCAATTACATAAAGTTACCTGTTTGGGTGATTTTTGTGTGTGTTGATGTTTCCCCCGCCCCCCCCCCAATCATTTTCCTGTTTTGAGCGCTGCTTTTAATGCTGTGGTTCTTTTTTTTTCATTTCTATTTTGGCTCATTCTCTAAAAGTTTCCAGTTCCATGTGACTTAATACTCTTTGCTTAGCAGCTTTCCTCTGTAGGGAGTGGGAGGATTATTGTGTGAGGTGGTATGGAAGTGTGGGTGAATGGTTAAGCTGAAGAACTAATTGCACATCTGAAGAGTTCTGCAAAGAAAGCAGGAATTAGGTGGGGTATATGTAGGCCAAGAAGGTCTTGGGTTTAGAGTGGGGAGGATTGGTATTTTAAAAAAATGAGTTACCTTTTGAAAGTAGAGAAACTAATTTCTCGGGCTGTAAAATTGGATTTTTTTTTTCTGTGCTTTCCAGTTACCTTTTCTAGATTTAGCGTCATCTGTTACTTCTTTACTCTCTGGTGTGGTTATTTTTTGTTGTTTGCAGTTCTTGAGTCTGCTGCAGGGATTGGGCCTGAACCCAACCTGAAAAGGTGGGGGGGGGGGGTCGGAAGAGTCCGAAGCTGTTCTAGAGATGGGCTGTCTCCTGTCTGTGCAATATCTGCACTTTTCTGTCCTTTTTTTTTTTTTCCCTTCAACTTTAGTCCAGCCTTTTGGGTATTTATCTGTATTTATTGTGAAATTTAAGATATGCAGACTTTTCCTTTTATTCAGTTCTTCCTGTTTTCCTCTGCTTTCACTAATCTCTCCACGTGATTTTTTTCCTGGGGTGGTTTTCCTTCACACATACATATTCTTGGAAAATGCTTTCGACAGAATGAAATGGAGAAAGAGTTTGTGTAGTCAAGAAATTAAGAGAAAAATTGGGGTCTGAGGGCTCTTCTGAACAATCTGGGCTTCAGACAAGCTGACACGCTAGAACCTGGTGGGGCAGAACAACTAGGAGGTGAGACACAGGGGCCTGGCAGGGAAAGCTGGCAGTTTGACACTAATGAAAGTGAGGTGTAAGGAATGGGGGGTGTTTTTTGAGTACGTTTTATAGTGAGGAATGTGGACGTGGTATGGGAACAGTAGGGACAGAGGAGGCTGGTGTGATGTGTGTAAAGCGTTGATTTGAAACCAGGAAATGCTGAACAGGAGCTCATGGGAGTTGGGTGAGAGTGCAAGTCATAGGCCTTCCAGTCAGAAGGAAATTGAGAGGATAAGGTGTCAGCAAAGTCTATGGACATGGAGGTCAAGGAAATGGTTTCTTCATTGGGAGGTGAAGCCTATGAGGATTGGGTAGCCAAGGTTCTTGTGAGTTTCTGCTGTGCACGCTTGCCTTTAGCCTGGGGGTGAGGCTGCACGGGGCCCTTGTGGTTTAGCTTAACCAGTCAGTCCACCTGTTTGGATACTTAGGAGCCGTTTAGTCCTTTTTGTACTTTTAACAGTCGTCTGAAATTCTTAGGTCGGTTCTTGGAAGAATTTTTGGACTCAGGCTGCAGGGCTACAGGTGCCACAGGTCTGTCTGTTTTATATACTCGGTTTGGAATTCTCAAGTTACTCTCCAAGGTCAGGAATTACAGTAGTTGATGAAAACACCACTGTGCGTTGGGCAGAGGAGAATAAAGGGACAGTGAGGAATTTTGAGAGAAACGAGGTCCTTTTGCCTAGGGTAGAAAAAGAAGAAAGACAAGTAAGAGCAAGACGAGTTCTTGAGCATTGAAGGGACAGACAGTAAGGGTTCGGCTGTGATTCGTTGGAAAGAAAGTAGCTCTTTCCAGTAAAGAACCTGGGGAAGGATAAAGCCTTATGTAGCTAAAGGAGGTTTTGTGTGGAGATAATGTTGGAACAAGATGGAGAGCAGGGATTTGGGTGGTGGTAAGTGGTTAGTTTGGGGCCAGGGGCCTGACCCGTGTCTCCCCGCTCCCCCTCAGGAGCGGTGGTGCCCCCCCGGGCACGGGGCCATGTACAACGGGATCGGGCTGCCGACGCCCCGGGGCAGCGGCACCAACGGCTACGTCCAGCGCAACTTGTCCCTGGTGCGGGGCCGCCGGGGTGAGCGGCCTGACTACAAGGGAGAGGAGGAACTGCGGCGCCTGGAGGCTGCCCTGGTGAAGCGGCCTAATCCTGACATCCTGGACCACGAGCGCAAGCGGCGCGTGGAGCTGAGATGCCTCGAGCTGGAGGAGATGATGGAAGAGCAGGGGTGAGGGGAGGGCTGGGGATGAGCTGAGCACTGAGTGAGTGCAGAGATGGGGTGTAGGAAGCGGTAGGGCTGCTGGAAAGATCTGGAGAGGAGTTGGAGGAGGGAAGAGGTAAAGGAGCTAGCGAGGTGAAGTGAAGGGACAGTTCTGAGTGGGAGACGAGAAAGCTGTGCCTTTGGGACGGAGGTAACCTGAAGGAGGCTGAGGTCTATAGAGCTGGAGGCACCTGGGGCAGGGAGGGGTGTGGAGAAACAATAAGGTGCTTTAAGGGAGAGGTGGGGGAGGAAGCAGAGCCCAGACGGGTGCCGGGTGCCAGCTGCCAGGTGACGTCCGTGGTGGAGAGGGCAGTAGACGGCTTGAGGCCTCGGAAAGGAGCAGAGGAAGGAAGAGAAGTAGAACACCCGGCCGGGAGGGCGGTGTGCGGGGCGGGTGGTGCGGCGAGGGCCTGGAGAAGGACCCCGTCCAGGCACAGACCTTCCGAGAGCAGCGGTTTCCAAACTTCATGGGGGGTAGCGCTCTTACACGACCTATTTTTGGGGTGCAGAGTGAAAGACTTAACTCTTCCTGAAGTTGGGGAGGAGCACCTGGAACTCTACCTGCTTAACTTTCCTCTCTCGGCTCCTGGAGTGTAGCGTGTTTAAAGTCCACTCTTCTAGGGGTGCAGTTAAGTGGAGGAGAAAGGTTACAGGGAAAGCTCAGGACGATTTAAGAGACGGCTCCTTTGGGTGACAGTGAGTGAAAAGCTCCGTGTGCGTGGAGAGGGAAGGGGCCCTGTTGGGAGTGTTGGAACCGTAAACCTGGGACGGGGGTGTGTGTCGTCCAGCTCTAACCCTGTAGGGGTTTGTTCTTCAGGTACGAGGAACAGCAGATTCAGGAGAAAGTGGCGACCTTCCGACTCATGCTGCTGGAGAAGGATGTGAACCCTGGGGGCAAGGAGGAGGCCCCGGGGCAGAGGCCAGCGTGAGTGTTTCCCTCTCCCGCTGTCCTGGGGCTCTGGGGCCACGCGCCTCCCTTCTCGCCCTGCTGCTTGCCTGCTCTCGGCGCCCTCTTCCCGTGCCCGCTTGGCTCCTCTCAGCCTGCGTGAGTGTCAATCTGCCTTCCCCTTCAGACCTGTGCCCTTTTTCCTGTAGGGTGACTGAGACTCACCAGTTGGCAGAGTTGAATGAGAAGAAGAACGAGAGACTTCGCGCCGCCTTTGGCATCAGTGACTCCTATGTGGACGGCAGCTCTTTCGACCCTCAGCGTCGTGCTCGAGAAGCTAAACAGCCAGCTCCTGAGCCTCCCAAGCCTTACAGGTACGTAAGATGGAGAAACCAGCGTCAGCTCCTCTTTCTGGTTCCGAGCACGCGGCTCTCCATTTTGGCGGGTGATTTCTTCTTCCTGTGGGCTTGTTCTTCTGACGTGGGGGTGTCTCAGGAAATGGGTTCTAGCCTCTCCCTCTGTTGCTCTCTCCAGCCTTGTCCGGGAGTCCAGCAGTTCTCGTTCGCCCACTCCGAAGCAGAAGAAGAAGAAGAAGAAGAAAGACAGAGGACGGTAAATTGGGACATTACCATAGTGGCCCTCAGACTGGTCAGAGAGGCAAGGGTGGCGTCCTTCAGGGCTAGCTGGGAGGAGAAGCGAACGTGTTGCTTCGGTGGGGAGGGTTCAGTCTGCGGGAACTTGGACTGGCAAAAAGCAGTTGGGATTTCTGGGACTTCCTTCTCCATTTTGAGGTTTGCTGGCCTAAGGAGGCTGGGGGGGGTGGTGTGTAAGGCACACGCTCAGGGCTGGGATGTTTGCATCGTTGCAGTTGTTGGGTGCTTCAGCAGCCTCTCCTGGGAGTGGGTGGGGCGGGGGAGCACTCAGAATGACCGTCTGCACCCACCTGCAGCCGTTCCGAGAGCAGCTCCCCTCGGCGGGAAAGGAAGAAGAGCTCCAAGAAGAAAAAGCACAGGTACGCGCGGGGCTGGGGCGAGGCGCGGCCGGCCAGTGCGGGTGTCGGTTCACGCTCTCTTCTCTCCCACAGGTCGGAATCTGAGTCCAAGAAACGGAAGCACAGGTGAGCATGCTGGCGGGGGCCGCGGTGGCGCGGGGGCCATTGCTCGCCGGCCCTGCCTGCTCTACGGGAGGGCCTCTCTCTCCCCGTGCATGCTGTCTTGATATGCCTTTTCATTCCTCCCTCACTTTGGGTGGTGGTTTTTTTTTTAAAAGTAGATCCTTCTTTAATCATCTTGCCTCGTTTTTTAGGTCTCCCACTCCAAAGAGCAAACGTAAATCTAAGGACAAGAAGCGGAAGCGGTGAGTGCACTTAGGTGAAATGGAAGGGGTTTCTCAGTGAGTGCATGATGAACACTACCTGGGGAACGGGGAGAGCGGGGTGTCCCTGGTTGCCAGGGAGTTGCAGGCTGGATCCCCACCCCCCACCCTCGGTGCAGGTGTGATGCTGAGCTGTGCTGGTGTATTCCCACAGGTCTAGAAGTACTACGCCAGCCCCCAAGAGCCGCCGGGCCCATCGGTCAACTTCCGCCGATTCTGCTTCTTCTTCTGATACTTCCCGCAGTCGGTGAGGGGTGGTCCAGGAGGATGGGAGGGAGCGGGACTTGTGGGTTAATCAATTTAATATTTATTGAGCGCCCACGGTGTGCTAGGCGCTGCACAGACCATTCGGAAGACACGGTCCCTGCCCTCTAGGAGCTGACAGGCTAAAGCAACAGGATGGACAGACATATACATTTTCCCCTTCTCTTTTTTTTTTTTATTTTGTTATTTTATTTTTGTTTTGTTCTGATGTATATGGACTGCCAGAATAGGGGGGGTGGTGGTTTGTTCGTGGTGTCTGGGGGAGGAAGGAATCCTTACCCTGGCTTCCTTAATCGGGGAAGGCTTCCTGAAGGAGGTGGGCTCAGAGGTGAGTTGTGAATGAAGCAGGTAGGGAATGGGATGGGCGGAGGGCTTGGGGAGGTTTGGGGGAGGTGAAAAAAGGGTAGAGGGAGAATGTTTTTTGGGGACTGATGGGAAAAGAAAGGACCAAAGTGAACCTGACTTGAATCTCAACATGAATGATTTGAGTCTTGCAAATAGGAGAAGGTTTTGTGGACGAGGGTTGTGCAATCAGGAAAGGTGGCTGGATGGGAGTTGGGGAGGGGGTTTTCTCTTCTCCCCCGAACTGATTTCCCTCTTCTCCGCCTTCCTTCAATTCCTTTTCTCAGGTCTCGAAGTGCTGCAGCTAAAACCCATACAACTGCCTTGACTGGGCGAAGTCCTTCCCCTCCTTCGGAGTGTCGAGGAGAGGGAGATGCACCTGCCAGGGAACCAGGTGCCACCAACACAGGGCAGCCTGGCAGCCCAGAGCCCTCTACGAAGCAGCCTGGCAGCCCACGTGAAGACAAAGACAAGAAGGAGGTATGTTCCTGAGTTAATGACTGACTCCTTGTGCTGTAGGGCTGTGGATTTAGGGGCAGGTATTGGAAATGAGATCTAAGTGCTTATTAAGGGGAAGGAATTCAGATTCTTTCCTGCATTGCTTTCAGTTTATCTCCTGCATCTGCAGATTCTTTTGTAATTGTGTTTTTCAAACTTTGTTGAGCATTAATAGGTTTTATTTATGTCACTGCTCTGTATGTGGATAGCACTGGAACAGAAATTTCTTCACTGTTTTACTACTTAGATTCCTGTAATTTCTTTGTTTAAATGTTGGTCGTGGTATGCTAAAAGTTTTCAACCCACTGGGTTGCTGTTGCAGTATGGAAACATGATTTTGGAATGTATTTATAGTAGTTTTTACTCATACATATTTGCCGTTTAAGCTGTAATCACTTTTTGCTTATACTATTAACGGTATGTTTTATTTGTGCTTTATTAAAAGTTTTAGCGCTTGTTCATTTCTCACGTAATATAGTTATTTTTTCCATGCTATGATTCGGGTCCCTTCAGAAACAGTTTAATTCCTGTTCTTGACATATATTTAAACCTTTTTAATAATCTGGTCGTTTTTTTCTATATTGTGCATAGTAACTTTTATTCACACAAATTACATCATCAAGTCTTTGCTTTTGTTCTTCAATGTAATTTTTTTGGGGGGTGAAATGCACTTTAGGGAATTGCTTTTCTCCATTTACAAATGTCTTTTTTCTTTGATTTGCAGTAATTTGTAATGGATACTTGTTGCAAAGTTTAGTGCATTCATTGTTCTGTTTGTTTGTTTGTTTTTTTTTACTGTTTTGATATTATATGATTCTGTTAATTAAATGACTGACTGTTTATGGTGAAGAAAAGGACCGGTTGTTATAATGGGGTGTGTAGAGGAAAACTTTCATTGGAAAGGGTGTTGGGATCATAATGAATGATAAAGAATTTTTATTACATATCCCTATTCCTACTTTCTTCTACTCTTAGAAATCTGCAACTCGACCTAGTCCCTCTCCGGAAAGGAGCAGCACAGGCCCAGATCCACCTGCTCCCACCCCGCTCCTTGCTGAGCAACATGGCGGCTCCCCACAACCTAGTGCAACAACCCCTTTAAATCAGGAGCCAGTGAATCCCCCAACTGAGGCTTCCCCATCCCGGGGCCATTCACCACCTAAGTCTCCTGAGAAACCTCCCCAGTCATCTTCAGAAAGCTGCCCACCATCCCCTCAAACTACCAAAGTTTCTCGGCATGCCAGCTCCTCCCCTGAAAGCCCTAAAGCCACACCAGCTCCCGGATCCCGCCGAGAGATTTCTTCTTCTCCCGCATCCAAGAGTCGCTCACATGGCCGAGCAAAGCGGGATAAGTCACGTTCTCATACTCCTCGTAGGGTGGGGCGGTCTCGTAGCCCTACCACTACCAAGAGGGGACGATCTAGATCTCGAACCCCCACCAAGAGAGGGCATTCTCGGTCCCGGTCCCCTCAGTGGCGTAGATCCCGGTCTGCACAGAGGTGGGGACGATCTAGGAGCCCCCAGCGACGTGGCCGCTCTAGGTCTCCCCAGAGACCAGGCTGGTCCAGGAGCAGAAATGCCCAGAGAAGAGGCAGGTCTAGATCAACAAGACGAGGCAGGTCACACTCTAGATCCCCAGCTACTAGGGGCAGGTCTCGCTCTAGAACCCCTGCCAGGCGGGGCAGGTCTCGCTCTAGAACTCCCACTAGGAGGAGGTCAAGATCCAGAACACCCACTAGGCGTAGGTCTCGCTCTAGGACACCAGCCAGAAGGGGCAGGTCTCGCTCTAGAACCCCCACCAGGCGCAGGTCTAGAACCCGATCGCCAGTGCGGCGGAGGTCTCGCAGTAGATCACCAGCCAGGAGAAGCGCCCGATCACGCTCTAGGACCCCAGCCAGGCGTGGGCGGTCGCGCTCTAGGACCCCAGCTAGGAGAAGTGGCAGGTCGCGCTCTAGAACCCCAGCCAGGAGAAGTGGCAGGTCGCGCTCGAGGACACCAGCCAGGAGAAGTGGCAGATCGCGCTCGAGGACACCAGCAAGACGAGGAAGATCACGTAGTAGAAGCTTAGTTAGACGGGGAAGATCTCACTCCAGAACGCCCCAAAGGAGAGGCAGGTCAGGTTCATCATCTGAGAGGAAGAATAAATCCAGAATGTCACAGAGAAGCAGGTCTAACTCAAGTCCAGAAATGAAAAAATCTCGAGTTTCTTCGAGGAGAAGTAGATCTCTCTCTTCACCACGGTCTAAAGCAAAATCGCGCCTGTCTTTGAGGCGAAGCCTTTCAGGGTCCTCTCCGTGCCCTAAACAAAAATCTCGAACGCCATCAAGACGCAGTCGCTCTGCATCATCCCAGCCTAAAGCTAAATCTAGAACCCCACCCAGGCGAAGCCGCTCTGGGTCTTCACCTCCTAGTCAGAAAGCTAAAACACCACCAAGACAGAGCGCTTCCAGCTCATCTCCTCAGCCTCAGGTGACATCTGGAGCACCACCAAGGCAAGGGCCTGTCGCAAGCCCCCAGGCCAGTGAGCATTCTGCAGCATCACAGAGACAGAGCCGGTCTGAGTCACCCCCCGGCCCTGAAGTGAAATCCAGGATTCCTTCAAGACACAGCTGTTCTGGGTCTTCTCCTCCGAGAGTGAAGTCTCGCACACCTCCAGTGCGCAGCCGGTCTGGCTCACCGTCTCCGCAGCCCAAGGCCAAGGCTGGAGCTTCACCAGTTCACAGCCAGTCCGGCTCCTCTTCTCCAAGTCCTGGGAGGGTTGCAGCTAGAACACCGCCAAGGCAAAGCAGATCAGAGTCTCCCTGCACCAAGGTTGACTCCAGATTGTTACCACATCACATCCGTTCTCGATCCTCCTCACCAGATACCAAAGTGAAACCCGAAACACCACCAAGACAAAGTCACTCAGGGTCTGTTTCGCCGTGCCCCAAAGTAAAGCCCCAAACTCCACCTGGGCATGGTCTTTCCGGAGCAACATCGCCATGTTCCCAAGAGAAGGCTAAAGATTCACCAGCACAGATTTGCTCTGGATCTTCCTCCCTCTGTGCAGGAGTAAAATCTACTACATCTCCAGGAGAGGGCTATTTTGGTTCCTCATCTCTTCAACAGCAAGAACACTCTCAGACTTCACCAGACCCTGGATCTGATTTATCAAGTCCAGATATAAGACAGAGTCATTCTGAATCTCCATCACTGCAGAATAAATCTCAGATGTTTAAGGGTGGCCAGTCTAGGTCCTCATCTCCAGTCACCGAACTGGCATGCAGCTCTCCAAAAAGACAGGAAGGGAGTGAGTTGTCAGCGAGTCCTAGGCTGAAATCTGGAATGTCTCCAGAGCAGGGCAAGTCCCAGTCCGACTCTTCCCTATATCCTGCAGTGGACTCCAAATCTTTTCTGGGGCAAAGTAAATCTGAGCCTTCTGAAGCAAAAGAGAGAACAATGAGCTTACTCCTTCAGGATGATGTGGCCATGTCATCTCCTAGACCAAATGACAAATTCAGCCCTCTGGTGCAGGAAAGGTGTGAGTTCCCACCACTACTCAAAGACACACCTAGAACTCCCTCAAGGGAAAGAGGCGGCATTGGGTCATCTCCAGATACAAAAGACCAAAGTGGCTTATCAGCTAAGCCAAGCCGAAATGAGGAATTAATGGAGTTGGAAGAGAAACCTGAAGAACTCCCAAGTCAGGTCCTGCCCCATTTGCCCCCAGAGCATAAAAAAATGACCGGAAGTAATGTTGAGTCATCTCCTGAAAATGAAGAACAGTCTGCAGTGTCTCTGACTCTTGACCAAAGCCAGTCACAGGCTTCCTTGGAAGCAGAAATCCCTGCAGTGGCCTCAACTTGGAGTGGACAGCGTCTTTCTCCAGATCATAAAGAACTGTCTAATTCCCCTGCCAGGGAGAACAGCTTCGTATCATCTCTACAGTTTAGAAACTCGGGCCCTGTTGCAGAAATGAATACTGGATTTTTTCCTGAGGTAAAAGATTTGAGTGGCGCTTCTAATCAGCTGGAAACAGACCCATCTCTAGATGCAAAAGAACAGTCAACAAGGTCTTCTAGACGCAGCAGTTCTGAGTTATCCCCAGAAGCAGTGGAAAAAGCAGGAACGTCTTCAAATCAGAGTGTGTCTTCTCCTATGCTTGATGCTGTACCCAGAACACCCTCCAGGGAGAGAGGTAGCCCTGCATCATCTCCTGAGCTCAAAGATGGTTTACCTAGAACCCCGTCAAGGAGAAGTAGGTCTGGGTCTTCCCCAGGACTTAGAGATGGGTCTGGGACTCCCTCTAGGCACAGTTTATCAGGGTCCTCTCCCGGCGTCAAGGATATACCTAGAACGCCCTCCAGGGGGAGAAGTGAGTGTGATTCTTCTCCAGAACCAAAAACATTGCCTCAGACGCCCAGGCCCAGGAGTCACTCTCCATTCTCCCCGGAGCTCAACAGCAAGGGTCTTACCCCCCAGAGAGAGAGAAGTGGGTCAGAATCATCAGTTGAACAGAAGACTGAGGCCAGGACTTCTCTTGGGCAGAGAAGTCAATCTGAATCTTCTCAAGAGCTTGATGGGAAGCCCAACGTGTCCCCTCAGGAGGGAAGTGACTCGGACTCTTCTCCAGATTCTAAGGTGAAAACACATGTGCCACTTAGACAAAGAAGCCGCTCAGGATCCTCTCCAGAGGTTGATGACAAATCTCGACCGTCTCCTCGACGCAGCCAGTCTGGGTCATCACCTGAAGTTAAAGATAAGCCGCGAGCTGCAGCCAGGGCACAAAGTGGTTCTGAGTCGTCCCCTGAGCTTAAGGTGCCTATCTCTCGGGCCCTACCTAGGCGAAGCAGGTCAGGTTCCTCGAGCAAAGGTAGAGGCCCTTCACCCGAAGGCAGCAGCAGTTCTGAGTCCTCTCCAGAACACCCACCCAAATCCAGAGCTGCCAGAAGAAGCTCTAGGTTATCACCAGAGCTGAAAACCAAGTCTCGTACCCCGCCTCGCCGTCGCAGCTTGCGCTCCTCTCCTGAGCTGACCCGGAAGGCCAGACTGTCCCGGAGGAGCCGCTCTGTGTCTTCGTCACCAGAGACCCGCTCTCGCACTCCCCCAAGGCGCCGGAGAAGTCCTTCCGTGTCTTCCCCAGAGCCGGCCGAAAAGTCACGGTCCTCACGCCGACGGCGTTCAGCTTCGTCTCCACGCACTAAGACCACTTCAAGGAGAGGCCGTTCTCCTTCGCTCAAGCCTCGTGGGCTCCAGAGGTCCCGTTCTCGCTCAAGGAGGGAGAAAACCAGAACAACTCGACGTAGAGAGCGATCTGGATCTTCTCAGTCAACCTCTCGGAGAAGACAGCGGAGCCGGTCAAGGTCTCGGGTTACCCGTCGACGGAGAGGAGGTTCTGGGTATCACTCAAGGTCTCCCGCTCGGCAGGAGAGCTCCCGAACCTCCTCTCGACGCCGAAGAGGCCGCTCCCGGACGCCCCTCGCCAGTCGGAAGCGTTCCCGTTCGCGCACGTCGCCAGCCCCGTGGAAACGCTCCCGGTCTAGGGCGTCTCCAGCCACTCACCGGCGATCCAGGTCCAGGACACCTCTGGTCAGTCGGCGCCGGTCCCGGTCTCGGACCTCACCCGTCAGTCGGAGACGGTCAAGATCTAGGACGTCTGTGACCCGGCGAAGGTCTCGGTCCAGGGCATCGCCAGTGAGCAGAAGGCGCTCTCGGTCCAGAACCCCGCCGGTCACCCGCCGGCGCTCGAGGTCCAGAACACCCGCTCGCCGCCGCTCTCGTTCTAGAAGCCCGCCCGTGACTCGGAGAAGGTCCCGATCTAGGACACCCCTAGTGACAAGGAGACGGTCTCGGAGCAGAACCTCGCCTATCGCTAGGAGAAGGTCAAGATCCAGAACGTCCCCGGTCGCTCGAAGGCGATCCCGCTCGCGCACCTCTCCGGTAACTCGAAGGAGGTCTCGCTCGCGCACCTCCCCAGTGACGCGCCGCCGGTCGCGGTCGCGGTCGCCTCCGGCTATCCGGCGCAGGTCACGGTCTCGAACCCCGCTGTTACCACGCAAACGCTCTCGCAGTCGCTCACCCCTGGTCATCCGCCGCCGTTCCCGATCCCGTACTCCGCGGGCGGCTCGAGGCAAACGGTCTTTAACGAGGTCTCCTCCCGCCATCCGAAGGCGCTCCGCCTCTGGGAGCAGTTCCGACCGTTCGCGTTCTGCCACCCCTCCGGCGACGCGCAACCACTCCGGCTCTCGGACACCTCCAGCGGCGCTCAGTAGCTCTCGAATGAGCTGCTTCAGTCGTCCTAGCATGTCCCCGACACCTCTGGACCGCTGTAGGTCACCTGGAATGCTCGAACCCCTCGGCAGCTCGAGAACGCCCATGTCTGTCCTCCAACAAGCTGGTGGCCCCATGATGGATGGCCCAGGTCCCCGGATTCCTGATCACCCGAGAACATCTGTACCAGAAAATCACGCTCAGTCTAGAATTGCGCTTGCTCTGACAGCTATCAGTCTTGGCACTGCTCGGCCGCCTCCATCCATGTCCGCTGCTAGCCTTGCTGCAAGAATGTCCCAGGTTCCAGCTCCAGTGCCTCTCATGAGTCTCAGAACAGCCCCGGCTGCCAGCCTTGCCAGCAGGATCCCCGCAGCCTCTGCAGCAGCCATGAACCTAGGCAGCGCCAGGACACCTGCCATCCCGACAGCAGTGAACCTGGCTGACTCAAGAGCACCAGCCGCAGCAGCGGCCATGAACTTGGCCAGCCCCAGAACTGCAGTAGCACCTTCGGCTGTGAACCTTGCTGACCCTCGTACCCCTACAGCCCCGGCTGTGAACCTAGCAGGAGCCAGAACCCCAGCGGCTTTGGCAGCGTTGAGTCTCTCAGGCTCTGGGACACCCCCAACTGCTGCAAACTATCCCTCTAGCTCCAGAACGCCCCAGGCTCCAGCTCCCGCGAACCTGGTGGGACCGAGGTCTGCACACGCTACGGCGCCTGTGAATATTGCTGGCTCAAGAAACCCTCCGGCCCTGGCCCCTGCAAGCCTGGCCAGCGCCAGAATGGCCCCAGCCTTGTCTGGTGCAAACCTCACCAGCCCTAGGGTGCCCCTTCCTGCTTACGAGCGCGTCAGTGGCAGAACCTCACCACCACACCTAGACAGAGCCAGGTCCAGAACACCCCCAGGAGGCCCAGGCTCCAGAACCCCACCATCTGCCCCAAGCCAGTCTAGAATGACCTCGGAGCGGGCTCCCTCGCCCGCGTCTAAAATGGTGCCGGGCCCCTCACAGGCTGTTCTCCCCCCAGCTCAGGATCGGTCTAGGTCCCCTGTGCCATCAGCTTTTCCTGACCAGTCCCGATCTTTGCTTGGCCAGACCACCCCCGTGGCAGGCTCTCAGTCCCTCCCCCCTGGGGTGGGCGCAAAGACCACGTCCTCTGCTGGGGACCACAATGGCATGCTCTCTGGCCCCGGGCCCGAGGGTGGGGAGCCGCCTGCCTCCGCCGGGGCCCAGCAGCCTTCGGCACTGGCCGCCCTACAGCCTGGAAAGGAGCGGCGGAGCTCCTCCTCCTCGTCCTCGTCCTCCTCGTCCTCCTCCTCCTCGTCCTCCTCGTCCTCCTCCTCCTCGTCCTCCGGCTCCAGCTCTAGCGACTCGGAAGGCTCTAGTCTTCCTGCGCAGCCTGAGGTAGCCGTGAAGAGGTGAGGAGGCCTGACTGGCAAAGCTCTCTGCGGGGAAAGTTTGGGGTGGGGAGGGTGGGTGTGGGGAGGGTGAAGCCTTACCCAGGGATTCTAGACGCTCTTGGAGGTGGTGTGGGGACCTGGACGCTGAGGCTGGGGGAGACAAGAATGCGGGTGGGGCTCTGGGGGCTGGAAGGGGACAGATGAAAGTCACCGAGAGCTGCTCTCCAGAGGATAATGATAAGTTTTCCGTCTCTACAGAGGACAGAACTAGAGGAAATGGACTTAATTTTACAGCAGGAGGGATGGCAGTTAGACCTCAAGAGGAACTCCCTGGGCTGGAAGGATCTTCAGCGGTCATCCCATCCCCCCCCTGCCTCCAGGCAGGACGGCCCCTCCCCAGCCGCCCTGCACACAGGGCCCCCCCCAAGTTGCTCTCCGAGGAAGGAGGCTGCTCAGCTTTGGTTTCCACACCGTGTCCAAGGGCCTTATTCCTCCATCAGGGACATTCTTGAGGTTTAACCTTGATCCCTTGTGCTGCGGGCCCCGGCCTGATGCTTGTGTTAGCAGAGGTGGGGTCAGCCGGGCCGCTGCCCCGCGGAGAACGCGCTCGCCGGCTCTGCCCAGAGCTGCCAGGCCTTCTCGGGCTCGCCTCCCCACTGCGAGCCTCCAGGCCGAGGAAGGTAGGGTTGGGGCTGGGGCACCCTGTCGCCTGTGACACCCCTCTTGTCCCGCAGGGTCCCCAGCCCCGTCCCAGCCCCAAAGGAGGCTGTTCGAGAGGGACGTCCTCAGGAGCCGACCCCAGCCAAGCGGAAGAGGCGCTCTAGCAGCTCCAGCTCCAGCTCCTCCTCTTCCTCCTCCTCCTCCTCCTCTTCCTCCTCCTCCTCCTCCTCCTCCTCCTCTTCCTCCTCCTCCTCCTCCTCCTCCTCTTCCTCCACTTCCTCCTCCCCCTCCCCTGCCAAGCCTGGGCCTCAGGCCTTGCCCAAACCTGCAAGCCCCAAGAAGCCACCCCCCGGCGAGCGCAGGTGAGTGCGGCCTTGCTTGAGATGGACGGGGTGGGGCTCGACCCTGGGGTGTGAGCGCCCTGCTGGGGTGTCTCTCACAGCTGGGGTGTCTGGTCGTATGGGAGGAGTTGGGCTCTCCTCCCCGTCGGCTGGGGCGCCTATGCCGGCAGCGGGCTGTGCCTTCCACGGCGGTGCCGAGGCCCGGCGCTGGGGCGTCTTCGGCTCCTTCCTCTCTCTGCCCCCGACGTGCCGCCCGGCCCCAGGGAGTCTAGCGTTAAGTCTCCCCGCTGCTGCCGCCAGGACTCTGGTCTGGCCACCGTCATCTTCTCCCGACTCTGTCCACAGCCTCTTCCCTGTCTCCCCGCCTCCACGCCATTCTCTTCCACACGTAGCCAGAGGGATCTTTCTAAAACGCACATCTGGTTACTTCCCTCCACGCCACAAATCCTTCCGGGACGCCATGTGGCCTGCAGGATAAAGCCCCACCTCTGCGGGAATGGCGTGCGAGGCGCTTCACCAACTGGCCTTGCCCGCCCTGTGTCTCCTCTCCTGCCCGCCCCCACACATGCCCTGTGCTCCAGCCACACCCGGCGCCTTGCAGTCTAAGGAGAGCCCATGCCTTGGGACATGCTGCTCCTTCTGCCGGGATCCCTTGTCCGCCTGGTGGACTCCTCGTTCTGCAAGACTCCGCTCCCACCGCACCTTGGAGAAGACCGCCCCGCCCTCCCCGGCCCTGGCCCCTCCCCCCGGGTCCCCAGACCCGCGCACACCCCTCCTTTCGAGACTGCTTCCCCCACACGGGGCCGAGCAAGCCCCCCTTGGCTCTCCTTCACCACCAGACAGTCCCTCCAAGGGCAGGGACCGTCTTTATCTTTGTGTCCCCCGCTGCACCCCGCGCCCTGCCCGTTGGGGCGCTCGGTGGATGGTGTGCGGGCGGACGGGTGAGTGAGCAGACGAAGGTGGGTCTGAGGCTGGCCCCATGTGGTGTGAGGTTTGGTGGTCAGGACCTGGGGGGCGTCCTGAGTGCTCGCTGCTGGGTCTGGAAGGGCGCAGTGCTATGGGGACCTGCTCTGCCCCCCAGGTCCCGCAGCCCGCGGAAGCCTATAGACTCCCTCCGGGACTCGCGCTCCCTCAGTTACTCGCCTGCAGAGCGCCGCCAGCCCTCCCCGCAGCCCGCGCCCCGGGACCAGCAGAGGTGGGTGTGTCCTCCCCTGCTGCCCTGCTGCCGGCCGCTCCCTGCCCCGCGCAGCTTGGGGGCTCTGGGACCTGACGTCTGCCCTGTGTTGCAGCGGCAGCGAGCGCAGCTCCCGAAGAGGCCCGCGCGCGGAGAGCCGCTCCCCAGGCCGCAAGCGCAGGAAGGACACCCCGAGCCCCCACCCGGCGAGACGCCGCTCCTCCAGGTGGGTCCCCGCGCCGGGCGTCCTGGGCGCCTGCGGGCTGGCCGGGCCTCCGCGGTGACCGTCGTCCTCTCCGTTGCAGGTCTCCTTGACGTGCTGGGGGAATTTCACCACCCCCCGGGTTGTGGAGCCACAGGGAGCGCCCCTCTCTCCCCAGCGGCCGCGGGCCGGGGTCCTCGTCTGCCCCGTTGTGACTGGCAGCACCTTGGGGGCGGGTGCTCTCCCTCGCCCTTTTTTTTTTTTTTTTTTTTTTCTTTGTTCCTGTGAAATGTTATTCTCTGTGAGTTTTTCCTGGTTCATGTTTGGGGGGGTTTGGGGGTGGGTGGGAACGAGAACGGGAGCGACGGGAGGGAGAGTAGTTTGGGACACGCCGGTCTTGGAAAGGAAGGGCCTGGGAAGCACCGCACCCCTTTTATCCCCAGGTTCCTGGGAGGGGTGCTTTGGGGCTCAGGAGCTGTGTGGGGGCTCCCTGGAAGGAAGGGGCAGGCGTCGGGGACCTGTTGGGCCCGACTGCCCCGCCGCTAGCTTGTGGGCCCCTCCCCCCAGCTTTTCTTCACTTTCTTAAAGGCATTTTGGTTTTTTAAAATCTGTACAGCAAAGCGACTTTTTCTGTCAAATAAAAATGAGAACTGCAGGCGCCGAGTCTGTAGACTGTTTATTCGGGGTGGGGGCGGCGGGGGAGCCGCTCTTCTGACCGCCCTGCAGGCCACTGTGGCCCCTGCGGGGGTGGGTCCAGGCCCTGGGTCTCCCACGGCACGTGGTCTCCAACTCTCACTCTGGCTCCAGCGCGGGCTCCCGCTCAGCATGCTGGGAGGGGCTGCTCTGGAGGGACGAAGCAGTGGCCCAGGCAGGAGCAGGTTGAAAAAGCCGCCCCCCCTCCCCACGGCCTTGAGAAGGGGGGACAGGGTGGGCAGGGAGGGGTCCAGCAGGCCAGCCTGGTGAGCGAGAGGCCAAGTGGGGTCTCACCGGGGAACAGGCTCATCTAGTGAGATGGCCTGGAGTCAGGAGAGGGGGGAGAGAAAAAGGCAGCAGCCAGGCAGACACCCAAATCTTATTTATTGGGGGGACGGGGCACCAGGGGCGGGCCCGGGACCCTCTCACTGGACAGCCTGCTCATTGGCGCTGCTTCCTGAGTCTTGTGGCTTCATCACATCGGGCAGCTCGGGCGGGCTGGAGAAGGGCTCGATGCGCAGGGCCTCGAACGCCTCGTCTGCGGGAGGAGGGAGGAGAGCTGGAGGGCGCGCCTGGCAAAGGCCCGGCCTGTCCTCGCTGCAAGGAAGTGGACCGCCTGCCCCCACCGACTCCTCCCTATAGCGGCATCAGCCCTCAAGTCCCCTCTCCCCACCCCCGCTTCACGCCTTCCGAGAGCAGGCGTGGCTTCAAGGGTTGCTTCAAGGCCAGGCCGTTGGCCTCGTCACCCGTCACCGGTCTCTGGAACGGCTGGCCTCGAGAATTCAATGGAGTCACTTCCTCGAAGAAGCCCTCCCGGCCACCCCGATAACCCATCCCTCCGTGCCCCAAGGCCCTGTGCATCGCCAGCAGCGGAAACATTCACTGGTCTCTGGACAGGCCTCGTAACACCCCAGCGAGTGCCAGCGCCCCGCGAGGGCAATGAATCTCACTTAGAGCTTGCCCGTTCTCCCACCCGGGAGGCTCCTCCCCCGGGCCCCGCGGGGGCACTCCTGTGTGGCGACAGGCCTGGCTGTCCTACGGGCAGGAGATGGCCACTCTGGCGGTGCCAGGGGCTTCCCACCACCGCACGATGCATAAGGCCACCCCACAGGGGCAGCCACCCAGAGGTCAGCAGGGCCGGCGCGAGGGCGCTGCGCGCAGCTTACTAACCGCGCTATTCCCTGGCGGTCAGGCCTGGACACCTGCTGACGCGCACCTTGGCTCCCTCGCCGTGAGCCAGCGCGGGCTGAGGAGACGAGCCAGGGAGGCCCCACACCCGGGACAGAGGCCCACCCAGAGGAGGTTTCCTCTGCAGTGTTTTCTTGGCTGCGTGGGAAGCAATGACCGCCCAGTTCACACCATCGTCCCTATCGAGACGGCAGCCCCCGCCTGAGGGCCGATGCCGCCAGGGCCGTCACCACCACACTCAACGTTACGCCGGGGCCATGGGGAAAAACCACCTGTGTTGTGGGGTTTTCTCAGCTGTACAGGAGGGCCCGTCCACAGCTCCCAGGCCTAGCTGCGGGCCCACGGGGCACCTTCGTTCAAGTCGAGAAAGGGAGACATCCCCCGGGAGACTGCGGCCTGGCCTGGCTCACCGAGCCTGCCTGACAGCAGCCCCGGCAGCCCCGTGAGGTCGGGAGGCACCCGCGTGAAGGCCCCCAAGGACTGTTTGCTGTGCACTTACAGGTGGGGCCGGAGGGGCCCGGGGGCTCACAGGACCTGCCTATCCTAGCCTCACGCCGCCACTCGGGAGGGCCGGGGCTGCTGAGGGCCGGCGACCCCCTCACAGAGCTGTCGTACCTTCGCCGCGTTTACTACGAGAAGGGAGGAGAGCAGCTCAGGCTTACCCAGCCACCCACACAACCCCTGGGGCCACGCGTGTTCACGATCCCACAAGCTGTTAAGTTTCCAGAGACACGCGACAAAATCCAGGCCCCTCTTTGTCAGGGCGGAAGGAGACAGTGACAGGAAGTCACCTGCCCCCAGCCCTCTCGTCTCCCGGCTGGGGAGTGAGGTGTGGCCGGGACCGGACCCGAACCCTGGGTCTGCCGGGCCCAGGCGCAGAGTAAGCATTAGGACGGGCGGAACGCAGGGCCGGCCTGCGTGGAGACGCGGGGCTCAAGGCGTCGCGTGGCGCCAGCTGGGCCGGGCCTGGGCATCTGCCTCGAGCCGGGCTCCCGACACGGCGGCCGGTAAGCCGCAGCCTGCAGGGCGGGCGCTCAGAAGCCCGCGAAAGAGCCTTCTTCCTCTGCAGGCGGCTCGTCTGCTTTTTTTTTTTAAATAGAAAATGGCATCCCGGGAAGACTTCAGGGCAACAGCTGCCGCCCCCCGGAGACCTTTTCTTTGGCCGTTCCCACCCGCCGGGTCGCCCGCTCACCTGCCCGGAAGGCCAGCCCCACCGTGGCCGGGGCCTGTGGCCGCGCAGTTTGACTAGTGAAGCCACACTCGCCCAGGGTCTTGCTGTCGTCCAGGAGCTGGTCGTCCTGCGGAGAGAGCGAGGCCTGGTCCCGGGAGAGGCCGGAGGAGGGCAAGTCCCCGAGACGCCTCTGGTCAGCAGCCAGGCGGGAAGTCAGAGGGATGACAGCCCTGGCGCCGCCTCCAGGGCTACACCCCGGCTTTCCCACCAGAGCCTCCCGGGGAAGGGCCCTGGAGTCTGGTTTTCCCAAGCTCCAGGAGAACCTAATTTCCAAAGCCAGGGACCCAGGTTGGCCACAGACAGACACGGTTTGGGCCGCGATGTTGGACCAAGTGGCTCAACTTTGACGTGCGGGTTCCTCAGCTGTCCCGCGGGAACTGCTGGAATTCCAGGAAGAGGGGTGGCGCCCCAAGGCTCAGCGCCAGGCTCGCAGGGGTGCAGCAGGGTCCCTAGAGGCTAGGGCTGGGTGCGCGGGGGTGGGGAGCACGGGCCTTTACACACAAAGGAGGCTGGGCCCGGCCGGGGGTGAAGGGCCAGTTGGGCGGTTTCCGGCCAGACTCCCGGGACCTCACGCTGCCCCCGGAGGTCCGTGCTGAATAACGGCAGCAGGTCTGCAGGGGCGGCGGGGCGGCTGGCTCCAAAGGCAGGCGATTAGGGGGGCTGGGCAGGCGCCGGGGACGAGCGGGGGGCCGCCTGGGGCTCACGCTCTCGCGGCTCGGCAGCAACGGGCCACTCCCCCGGGCGCGCGTGGGGGGCGCGCAGGGGGCTCCGGTGCGCCTGGGGGCCTGGGGCCCGAGCCCCGGCCCCGCCAAGCCCCCCGGCCAGCGACGCGCGCCCCCGCCGGGCCTCCGGCTCCCCCGCCGCCCGCCGGGCCGCCCGGCGCGTCGGGGGGCGGGGGCGATCGGGGGCCCGAGGCGGCGGCCCGGGGGCGCGGGCCCGGCGCGCCCTCGGCCCCCTCCGGCCCCGGGCCCCGCAACGGCCCCACGCGCGGCGGCCGGCCGTTCGCGGCCGCGGGCCCCGGCCCGGGCGGGCGCACCTTGTACAGCCGCTGCTCGTCGGGCGGCCGCTTGAGGATGCCCTCGACGATGCGCTTCAGCTCCAGCACGGTGCTCGACTCCTTGGCGTCCGTGAAGATGGTGGTCTTGTGGCGCCGGATCATGAGGAACACGTCCTGCGGGCGGCGGGCCGGCGTGAGCGCGGGCCCGGGCCCCCCGGCCCCCCGCCCCCGCCCCGCCCCGCCCGCCCGCCGCCCCCGGCCCGGCCCGGCCCGCGCCCCTCCCCCCGCGCCCGCTCACCATCGCGGCGGCTGCTTCTCCCTCGACGCGCCGGCGCGGCCGCGCTCCGCCCCGTTCCCAGCGGCCCGCGCGCCGGCCCAGCGTGCCCCGCGCCCGCCGCCGCGGCCCCGCCCCGCCCCGCCCCGCCCGCCCCGCCCCCGCCCGCCGCCATCTTAAGTCATGGCGAGGGGCCCGCCCGCGCCCCGCGCCCGCCGCCATCTCGGCGTGGGCGCGTCCGCGCGGGCGGCGGGGCCGGGGCCCAGCGTGGGGCGGTCGCCGGCGGCCGCGCAGGCCCGCCCTTCGGGGACGCGGCGGGCGCCAAGCGGTGCGCCGCGGGCCCCGCAGGCCGGGGATGAGCCGGGGGTCGGGCGCCTGCCCCTCGGGGCCCGCTCGTGGTGCGGGCGCCCCGGCGGCCGTCTGAGGCGGGGGTGCGCCCGGCCGCCGGCGCCGGGAGGCCTGTCTGCGGCGCCCGCCCCGCCTGGGCGCGCGGGCTGTGCGGGCCGGCCCGGGGACGCCGCCGGCCGTCCTCGCGGGGCAGCCCCGACGGCCGAGCCTCCCTCCCGCGCGGCGGCCGCGCCCCCGCCCCGCCCGCCGGGGCCCGCCGGGGGTCCAGGGGGTCCGGGGAGACGCCCGCGGGTGCGCCCGGAGGGGGCCTCGCGGCGCCGCATCTGCCGCCCGCCGGCGCGGGTTGCCGGGGAGCGCGGGCCCGCCCGGGCTGGCCGAGGCTCGGCTTCCGCGCCCAGACGGGAGCCGGCGGCCGCCCAGCCTCGCCGGGACGCCTGCCCGGGGGCTGTTGACCTGCAGCCCTGGCTCCTGGGGGCGCGCCGGGGGCCCAGCGCCTGCTCTGCCGGGGTCGCAGCCAGGGACGGGGCAGGAGGCAGCGGAGCAGCGCCCGGCCTCGCCAGCCCCCGAGAGGCTGCCGCAGGTGCCCTGCCCAGGCTGCGGCGTGGACACCGCGAGCCGCCCGGGCCACCGGCCGCCGCACCTGGAAAGGGTGTCAGGAGGCGCGCGCCCCGGGTGAAGGCCGTGGAGAGAACCGAGCGGGCGCCCTCGCGTGCGCGCACCTGCTGCTGCCATCCCGGGGGGCCAGGGGTCAGGCCACCGGCTCCCGCCCGGGCTGCCAGCTGTGCCGCTTGGGGCCTTAGTTTTCTCATCTGGCCAGCGAGGGCAGCCACCTCACGGGGCCTCTGGTGAGACGGGGCGCGGGCCGTGAAGCCCCGTGGTGCTGGGAGGGCCTGGTGGGGAGAAGGCTGCTTTCTTGTCATCCACGAGCCTGTCTCTGCCCCGCGCAGCCCAGCCCCTCTTGCTTCTAGGACGCCCCGCCTGGCCCCCGGAGCCCGCTCCAGAAACACGGGCTCTGAAGGGGGCCCCTTGTTGGAGTCACAGCGGGTGCAAGCAGCTGCCTCCCAGCCCCTCCTTGGCTCCTGCCCCGTCTGTTCCAAAGCTTAGATTTCAGGTTTTTGTAGGTTTGGCTGATTCCTGTCCCGTTTGCACTTCTAGAAACGGACATCTCTGTGGTGATGGGTGGTCCTGAGCCTGGGGACGAGGTGGCAGGAGGGGACAGGACACCAGGCCCCAGGCACACCAGGACGTTCAGGGAGCTGCAGAGGGCGTTGGCTGGTCTCCAGCAGTGGGGGCGGGGATGGACCTGGGGTTCCTGGCTAAGGTGGGACAGCCCCGGACTCACCTGGCCCCCTCCTGGGCGGAGGGCTTGACCTGAGATGCCCCAGGCTGCTGCGCCTCAGGGAGTGGTCACTGGCCCTCCCGCCCCGCGCAGCCAGCCTGCGGCCCTGCGTCTGGCCTCCGGCTTCTGTCTCACGACACCTGCAGCGCAGCAGCTGCACACGCTCATCTTTATTAAACCGCGGTCTAGGCCAGAGGTCTGAGCAGGCTCAGGTGGGCTCTCTGCTTGGGGGCCGCCTGAGGTGAGGGCTTGGCCTGCAGGAGGCCGGAGGCAGGGGAGAACCTGCCCCAAGCACTTTCAGGTTGTTGGCAGGGGTTGGCTCCCGCAGGTGGACCACCAAGGGTGCCCCGCCGATGCCCCCGCCACTGTGCTCAGCTTCGGGGAGCAGCGCCCCGCAGTCCCCCCCCCCCCCGCCTCTAAGCTGTCGCGGACACCTGGGTGAGGGTCCCTCTCACACTTCGAGTCTCGTGACTTCCTCGAGGAAAGAAGGGACACGCAGCCTCGCCAGGGGACCAGCGCTTGCCTGGCTCCGGGAGCGTCAGCATGAGCAGGAGGGGCAGGGACAGGGCGAGGCCCCTGCCCACACGGAGGCCGCAGGGCAGGCTGGCAGGTCAGGGTGGGTGAGGCCGGGCATGGGCAGACGGATAAGCAGATGGCCCCTTCGCCTTATCAGGTCTCTGAGCCCCGAATCAAAGGGCGGGACAAGGGATGTGCAGGCGCTGGCGCAGGTGCAGCCTGAGGGCGCAGCGTCCGCCCGTCAGCATCGCGTCAGAGACAGGCGAGCCTGGATCCAGGGGCTGTAGGTGGCCACGTTGGTGTAAACGCCTGGACGGTTGGGCAGGGCGCAACCCTTGCCCCAGCTCACCACACCCACCAGGACCCAGCGCCCAGACTTCACACAGGTCAGGGGTCCCCCAGAGTCGCCCTGCGGGAGAAAGATGGGCTGAGTTCCTGCCTCTGGGGCTCTGATGACAGTGGGCGCAGGCCCCGGGCGGAGCCTCAGCCAGGGCAGGACCCAGGGAGGGCTCCGGGCGGCACACACCTGGCAGGCGTCCCTGCCGCCCTCGGGGTAGCCGGCGCACAGGTTCCCGGGCAGCACTATGTGCTCCGCCGGGGGCACGGCGGTCCCCACGTGGTAGAGGCGGTCACAGGCGCGGGCGTCCAGCAGCGGCACCCTCACCCCCTGCAGAGGTCGCCACTCTGGGAGTGGCACTGGGGGAGGCAGGGGCCTCTGAGGCTGCGAGGGGGAGGCCCAGCCCCCCACCTGGACGTGGGCAAAGGGGCGGCGGGGGTTGGGGGTCTAAGTGAGGGAAAGGCAGATGCTCGGGCCTCACCCCGAGGCCAGGCCCAGCCCTCCGCTCACCTCCAGGGCGGAGGCTGCCCCAGCCGGTGACCCAGCATGGGGTCCCGGGCGGCAGGTGGGCACCCGGCTTGGGCAGGCACACGGGCTGGACGCGGGCGCTCAGGGGCACGGGGCGGCGTAGCTGCAGCAGTGCCAGGTCGCCACGGGCCCTGTCCTCAGAGTAGTCGGGGGGCAGCAGCACCCTCCGCAGCGGCGCCGAGAGCGCGTGGGGCGAGGCGACACCCAGGTGCAGCGCCCCGAGGCGCACGCGGTACTCAGAGGGGGACGCCCGTCTGCGGGGGGGGGGGGGGGGTGGCTCCTCACTGCGCCCTCGTCCTCCCCTCCTCAGGGCCTCGCCCCTCCCTCCCCCCCACTGCTGTGTGCTCCCACCTCGCTCCGCCCCCCGGGGGGGCCCAGGCCTGGCCGCTGCCCGCTGACCTCGGGAAGCAGTGGGCGGCGGTGAGCACCCACTGGGGGGCGATGAGTGAGCCCCCGCACACGTGCACCCCGCGGTGCTGGACGCTGGCCTGCCACGGCCACTCTCCGTCCCGGGCGTCCCGGCCCCCACGATCCGGCTCGACACCTGAGGCTGCCCACAGACTGCGAGAGGACAGGGGAGCCCGCGAAGGTGGGTGGGGGGCCGGGGGCGACAGCGCCGGGGTCGGGAGGGGCTGACCCCTGCCGAGGCGTCCTTACCTGTGGAGCCCAGCGCCCCGCCAGCTCCTGGAGGAGGAAGCAGCGAAGGGCAGGAGTATGGACTTGGTGTCCGGTAACAATGGGGGGCAGATCAGGAAGGAGGCGGGCACCCTGCGCCCCGGTGCCAGGAACGCGGGCGGGGACTCTCCCCAGAGCACAGTGCCGGGCTGATGAGACTCGACGGGGCTTGGAGAGCCTGGGTGCCAGCACCCCAGGGGTGGCGGTGCACCCCCTCCAGGGCTCAGGGGCCGGGGCGGGGCGGGGGAGGCAGACATCTGGGAGCAGGAGCTCCCGTGGCCATGACCCCTGCGTGCCCGGAGCCGACGCCACTCACCCAGCAGCAGGAGGAGTGGGACCCGGGGGCAGACGGCCCCCCTCATGCTGTCTCCAGGCCGCTCCGTGGCACGTCCTGGGGTGCACTCTGGTCAGGGCTGCGGGAGAGAAGTGGGGGTCCCGGCCCAGGACACCAGCCCCCAGAGGCCCCTCAGTGCTGCCTCAGCCCCTGGCCGGTCCCTGGCTCTCCCCGGGGCCCAGACCCGAGGGACCACCCCTAGGTCCCCCCATCCCCCAGCCTCCATGGAGCCCCAGCCCCTTCCGCCTGGCGTCTGGCCCCACACTCACCCTCCCGCTGGGTGCGCACCCCGCTGCTGGGCTGGGGAGGACCTGGGGGCTTAAAGGGCCGGGAGGGGGCGGGCCGGCCAGCCAGTGCCAGGGCGGTGCTGGGGCTCCCCCCGGCCCGAACAAAGACGCTTTCAGCAGCTCGTCCGCGGAGGCGGGAAGGGACGCCCGGGTTTCTCAGAGGAAGCTTGGCTCGGGTCAAGGTGCTGGGACCCAGGGGTGGGGGGAGCCGGGGCGGGGAGGGGCGGGGGCTGCGGTCAGGCCCGGAAGCGCCGGGAGGATCCTGGCAGCTCCTCGGAACCTGATCCTGGCTCGGCCTCTAGCGAGGCTGCTGTTGTGCCCAGGAACCCCGGCTGGGCCCTCCCGCGGGCGCCCCCCCCCCCCCCCCCGCCCCGGCCCGGACACGCCCCCGGGTCGGGGTCTGGAGGAGTCCAGTGGGGCCTGGCCTGTGCCAGGCGGGAGTGGAGGTGATGCGGGCAGACGCCCCATCCTCCAGCTGGGTGGGCGGGGTGGCGAGGCTGCTGTCTCTGCCAGGGGGTGGGGGAGTGAGGCTGGGCCAAGCCCCTGCCCAGAAAGCTCTGGCTCCTCTTTCCACCTCCTCACGCAGCCCCGCTGCCGCCTCCCGGGTCCTCTCCCAGCCCAGCCCCCGCGGGCCCGGCCCAGTGGGTGCGGAGGGTGAGGTGTGTCTGTGCCCCCATGAGGGGGTCTGCTGTCTGCCCCGACTGGGTCGGCTCAGGCTGCCAGGAAGAGGCAGCAGGGCAAAGGGTCGGGCAGCACCACCGGCCTGGGCCGCGCTGGCCAGAGCGTGGGACCACACTCTAGCACGAGTCCCCTGCGCGCCCTTCTGCCCTCTGGAGCCCTGTGGGAGGGGACGTCTCCTCCTCTCTGAAGCCACCTCTGAGGTGGGAAAGATGACCGAGGTTGAGCCACACGGAACTTGGAGGTGCTGCTGAGGCGGGGTGTCTTGTCCCTGGGCTCCTGACCTCTCTTGCCCCAGAGTCACCTGTCCTCAGAGGGGCTTGGTGGGGGTGGGCTGGGGTCAGTGTGCCCCTGGGGTGGGGGGCGGGCTGGAGAGGCAGCCTCAGGCTCAGAGATGCCACGGGGCCTGGTTCCCCCAGGCCGGGCGCCAGCCACGGTCCCAGGCCTTCTCAGAGGGCTCAGCCAGGCTGGGCCTCCATGGTCACAACTGCCCCTCCCTGTTGGAGCAAGCGTCTTCCGGTTCCGCCCTCCCTGCCTCAGTTTCCCCACTCCTCGCTGGGCTTCGTTGCATCAATAAACTACCCTCACCCCAGCCCTGGGCCCAGACGGGCCTCGGGGGGCATGGCGGGACGGCACGTCTGCGCCTGTGCGACGGGCCACGCTGGCTGGCGTGGGGGCTTGGGGCGCTTCCCCCCAGCACCCCCCAGGCTTCCTGGGCCAGGGCCACTGACGTCCTTCCCTGACTGACCTGTGTGGCTGCAGGACGCAGGGGCGGGGGGGTCTGCACCCGTGTGGCGCAGCTGGGACACAAGACTGAGGGCCCGGGGTGGGCCTTGGGGTGCACGGGACGTGGGCGAGCGCGAGGGGGCGTCCGGGTCACAATACAGGTTGCAGTCAATGAGAAAAGATTGAAATCACGCAGAACGTAGTCTCCAGCGCAAGGGAACGGGCTAGAAGCCAGCGCGGAAGGGAAAGTGAAGCGTGCACGCGTGTGTGGAAGTGGAACATCGTACCAGCGGCTCGAAGAACTCACAGGAGAGAGTAGAGGTTTCTCCCCCCGCTCCCCGAGCGCCCCTCCGTCCCCCCAGCGTCAGGGCCTCAGCGGCCTGGGCAGAGCCGTGTTCCTGCCCCGGTTCTGTCGTCTTTCCGTGCTGGGGCCGGGTCGTGAGGGGTGTGGGTGTTTCCATGGCCCCTCTCGACACTTTGATGGTTTTACCTTCTTGCAGCCATGGAGCAGGTTTTAACTGAAAATCCATTTTCTTCTTCTTTGAGAAGAGTAAACATGAGGACAGAGCACCCCAAAGCTCGGGGGGTTCCCCGAAGGGGAAATATTGCATGAGTCAAGTAGAAACATCACGAATCAATCATCTCAGTGACCCCTTGAGGAAGAACAAGAGGAGCAAAGTGAACTCAAAGCTGAAGGAAGCAAAGGGGGGGGGGGGGAGCGGGCGCAGGGTTGGGGGATGGGGTAGGAAAACTACAGAGAAAACCAGCACAGTGGGGGCCTCCCTGGTGGTGCAGGGGGTTAAGACGCAACCTATGAAGCTCTCCGAAGCCGCTGCAGCACGAGTTCCATCCCTCGGCCGGCCAGGGGGCAACCCACATGGCGCAGCAGACCCCTCCTGTCTCCCCGCCGCTGCCCTCAGCAGTGTATTTCAGTCCATCTGTCTGTTCTGCTCCCCACGCTGTCTCTGGTGAATGCTCTCACCCCCCCACCTCTGGCCTGTACCCCAGCTCTTGTATGCATAAATAAATAAATCTGAAAAAAAAAAAAAAAAAAAAAAGAAAATCAACACAAGCAAAACTTGACACCAAACTTGGGGCAACTGCGCTGACCTGACAGGGACAGTGCGGGCAATCGCCGGTGGCCACTGCCTGCCAACAAGTCAGACAACCTCGAGGAGGCGGGAAAACTCCCATAAATACGCCAACGAGCAAACGGATTCATGAAGAAACAGAATCAGACGCGGCCCCTGGCGAATACGGAGGCTGACCCCACGCGCCACGCCCCGGGGGGGAAACGCCAGGGACCCGACAGCTCCAGACGCCGGGCCGTGCCCTGCCTGGTGAGAGCGACGCCCGTCCTTCTCGAGGGCTTTGAAAACTCAGAAGGGGGGGGCGCCATTCACGCCTTCCATGAAGCCCGCGGCACCTGGACCTGCAGCCGGGTAAGAACACCGTAAGAATAAATGACGGAGCAGCGTCCCCTCTAAGACACTCACGCCGATGCCTCCAGCCCAGCCCTCGCCCGCTGACCCCGCGCGACTGACTCCGTGAGCGTAAAGGGGGTTCAGCTGCTGGCAGTCCAGGGAACAGGTACCAAACAGTAATATTATTGCACGGATGTCATTTCTAGAATGTCAGTATTCTACGTTCATATCATTAGTGTAACGTCATCAAAGCATTCATATCACCGCACCTTAATCATGCGTGTAACATGTCAGCCATTAGCATCAGGGATATAACTGTCAGCGCGGCGGCGCCCCCCGAGGCACGCAGTGCTGAGACAGGGAGGACATCAAGGGGATGGCTAAACAATGGGTCCGCCCGCGCGGGAGGCCTGGCCGCGGCATGTCGGGAAGTCCTCTCAGGTGCGGTGCGGGCGAAGCTGCGTCTGGGGGCCAGACGAGATTAGAAAGAGAAACAATGACCTGACGCGCAGAACCTCGGCGAGCTGTGCCCGGGCAAGGCCAAAGGCTCAGAGAATCCCTCCTTGTCTAGTCACTGACCCGAGGGGGCGAGGGGGGCTGCTCGGGTCCGTGACATCAGCGGCACCCGGCACGCGGGACGCCTGTGGGCAAAGGCGAGGCCTTGCGGCCCCGGGTCCCGCTGAAGCTCCGTTCTGTGTCTGTCAGCTCGTGCTCGTTGCCACGGCCCGTCGGGGTCCTCTCTCACCCCTGCTCACGGGCGCCGGACTCCGGCCTCGTCACGCATTAATATTAGTGTAACGTTCGTGTCACGGACATGGCGTTGCCCCCCCACAGGAATAGCGGCCGCGCGCGGATGAGCGGAGGTGCCGGAGGAACGGAGGGAAAGCGCCGTGGTCTTCTCAGCTGACGCGAGACAAGCCTCTGGCAAACCCGCGGCCAGCTCACCGTGCAAACCGCAGCGAAGCCCGGCCTCCCCAAAGGCCGGGGAGCCCCGCAAGCAGCTCCGCGTGTGCCCCGAGGCCAGACCCAGCCGCGGAGGCTGGCTTGGCGGCGCCCACCGCACCATCTTGCTGTGAGGTCAGCCCGGGCAGTTAGGCCGCAAAGTCAACACACAGCCCGGCTGGAAGGAGGCGGCACCGCCGAGGATCCGCGCAGGGAAACCCAGACAGGAAGGGGGCGCTGCGTGGGGCTGCCCGACCCGGCCCTCCAGCCTGTGCGCTGTAACAGGCGCTCAGTCCGTGGCCAGGGCACCGGCCGGCAGAGAGGCAGCCCGGGCGCCCAGCAGGCCCTCTCCGCGCGGCGTGTCAGGCAGCCAGGCGGGCTCACGCGGCGCAGCTGAGGCTGGGGAGGGCCGGGCCTGCGGCGCCCTGGAGGAGGCCGGGCCGTGGCCCTCATGGGATGGGCGCCCGGGTCTGAGAAGGGCAGGCCGCCCTGCTGTCCTCCCGCCCGTGGCTCCAGGGTGCCGACCACGCATCAGGGCCCACGTAGAAGCAAGAAAGCACATGGGGGCCTCCCTGGTGGCGCAGCGGTTGAGCGCTGGGTTGCGAAGCTGCCCGCAGCCTCTGCAGCGCCGGTTCGATCCCCGGCTGCTCCCCGGCCACCGGAGGAGGGTCCCGCATGGCGCGCAGACCTCTCCTGCCGCCCGCTGCTCCCCTCAGCAGTGTACTTCGGTCCCTCTGCCTGCTCTGCTCCCCGCTCTGGCTCTGGTGAATTCTCTCACCCTCCCGCGCTTCTGACTGTGCCCAGTGCATGTATAAATAAATAAATAAATCTTTAAAAGAAAAAAAAGAAAAAAGAAAGCACATGGGACAGAAAACGCCGGGATTCCTGTTCAAGAGAAGTAATTCATTGTCCACAGATGGAAAAAACCAAGACCAGGACACGAGAAAGGTCTAGATTTAATACATTCAGCAAACTGGCCGGATCCAAGATGAAGACACAGCCGTGAGAAT